AAATACAGAACTTGATGCAATTTCATGTCCCTCTTTCTCAGAGCCCTAAATAGCACAAGCAAAACCCACAGAGGTTGCCCTGTAAAATAGTAGTGTGAATGATGTAAGCCAGGACTTGTGTAACCAGAGTTTGTATAGATCTACTGCCAGACCAGTGGAAGGCTGTGCTGAGAGACATTGCACACATGGACCTTTCAAAGATTTGAAGTCTGATAAGTATTTAAGTTATAAAACAGAAAGTACACACCAATGTGTGGATGAGAAGCTCATGACAGTGGATGAGAAGCTCACTATGAGCTACAGTGAGTTCACAGCCCAGAAACCAACCCAGCCCTGGGCTGCATCCACGGAAGTGTGGGCAGCAGGGCAAGGGAGGGGATTCTGCCCCTCTGCTCTGCTCTGTGAGACCCACCTGGAATACTGCACACAGCTCTGGTGTCCTCAGCATAAGTCCAGAGGAGGTAATGAAGTTGCTAAAAGCACTGGAGCATCTCCCTGTGAGGACAGGCTGAGAGAGTTGGGGCTGTTTGATTAACAATTTATCTCTGCCCCAGCTCTTTAAGATGTCCATTGCTTATCAGGGTTTGCAGCCTATGTGTTGTTCCATCCTGACAGAAAACATCCCTAGCAGTGACTGTTCCCTCTAAACACTCAGCAGCCAGGTAAGGGCAGCAAAAGGCAATGTAAAGCCCTGCAGGCAACCTGGTTCTGATCATCTGTTTGGCAATTTCCATATGGCTTTGATAAACAAGGTGTGGTGCACCTGGTTGGAGCAGTGTAGGAAATAACTACCTGAAGGGATCAGCTTTGCCTCTGCCAGGGATTATTGCCTCTGTGGTAGACTTGGCAGGTGGGAGTGGAGAAGGAGTTGACTTTTTGGAGTCACGATCCCTGGAAGTGTTTGAGAGGTGTGTGGATCTGGCACTAGTGGATCTGGGTTAGGGTTTAGTGGTTCCAGCAGTGACAGGTTAATGGTTGGACTCAATGATCTTAGAGGTCTCTTCCAACCTTGGTGATTCTGTGATTCTATGACTTACAAAGTCACAGACTGATGTCTTGGTTTTAGTGAACATTTGTTACTTGTTTAAGTGTAGCATTAGCATAGCTTAGGCACAGACACATATCCCTTTTTGCTCCTGCTGTGATGGTCATAGTCATTCATGAATAAGGTAGGCTGGAGAGCTGGTAACTGCTCTGAAGCTGTGCTTCACCACAAATTCCTTCTGCATTCACCACAACTTGCCTGCTACAGTTGTTAGTAGCTTTGCCAGGCTGTGACTCTTGCATCAGCACTTCAATCCTTCCTTAGAGGATGAAGGATGGAAAGGTTGTTCCTTCCTTCTGGACCTATTTCAAACTCTAATCAGTAGCCTCAAACTTTGCTGAAACATCTTCAAGTCCCTTGAATTCTATCTTGAAAATTCAAAGTGTGCTACAGGTAAACTGAAGTAACTCTGAGATACTTCAGTGCTGTTTCTTTGGTATGATGTCTTTCTGGTGGCACTGGACTTGCTATACAGACGTAAGTTTCCCTTGTGGCACTGGACTTGCTCTCCAGCTATTTGGTGCAGTAGGTTAGAGTGAGAGATAGGACTGTGCACACTGAGCCATGAGTTCTGGTTGATTTTTTTGTATAAGGAATATCACTTTCTAACTTCATACATTCTTGCATGGATTTGCTCTGCTCTGTGTCTTTGTAGAAATGTCTGTAATGAAATATCCAGATAAAATTGCTGTATTATAAGAGTTTTTGCGGTTTTTCTGTGTTCATAACTTTTAGGCCTTAAAAGCCCATGGACAAGATTATCTTGTTGGCAACAAATTGAGCTGGGCAGACATCCATCTGCTGGAAGCAATTTTAATGACAGAGGAATGCAAGCCTGATATACTGTCTGCATTCCCTCTGCTGCAGGTTAGTGATCATCTGAGCTCAGCTTGGAATGTCACATACAAATTTCACTGACCAGTTGTAAAATCTCGTTGATGTTCATGTCTTTGGAGCCTTTGTACTCTCTGCTCTGTTTGTGTTGACTACCAAAACCTGAACCCACCTGCACTGCTCCCAGAGCTGCTGGGGCTCCCCTTGCTCCAGCTCTGCTTTTCCCATCAGTGCTCAGCTGGCAGGAATTCACTTACTAACACTATGACTTTGGTCCTGTAACTGCTACTTCCATGTCTTCAAACAAGCCATGAGCATCAGGAGGGGAAATCTGTGGTCTCTTGTGTTCCTGTCCTTTACAAAGAGAAATCATACACAAAGAGCTGTTAAGTTTCTTATGGCTTGACTTCTATGATGCTTTGCACTGAGGTATTCCTGTCCTTGTCTCCTTTTTCCCCCCAATATACCTGCAGAATTTGGATTCAGGCTCTGGGCTTTTTTTGCTTTCTTCTTTTTTTCTTTTCTTTTTCTGTTTCTACCTTTTACTAGATGAATCTTAACGTTAATATTAATTTCTCCTATCTCCATCTGGGAAACTAAGGTAAACTTTATACACCAGCATTGCAGGTCAGAAAAAGCTACTAAAGTTATTTTCTCTGTCTAATAAGTATGTCTGACAAGCAAAAATCCAAGTCACCCAATTTTCAAGCTATACAGGATGGAATTATAATTTCCTAGCTCTCATTGGCTTTGCTGTTGCTTCTTCCAGGCTTTTAAAGGAAGAATAAGCAACATTCCAACAATCAAGAAGTTCTTGCAGCCTGGCAGCCAGAGGAAGCCCCCAACAGATGAGAAGATGGTTGCTCTTGTGAAGAAGATATTCAGTTTCTAATCTGCTGAAGATAACACAGCAGTACTACATCACCAGAGCTGTGCCTTGGAAGTGTAAATTGCATAGATGTGCCCTGTAGCTTGCATCCTGTAGTTAGTGTTGAAACAGAATACACTTTTAAATTAGTGTACAAGGCTAATTTGGTCCTGCTGCATTTCACTGCTGTCTATGTCCCTTCAGAGCTGCAGTTTAAAAATCAAATGAATAAAAGCTTCAAAAATAAATGGAAATTAAAACTCATGGTCCTTGTAAGTTCATGGGCAAAAGTAAGAAACTTTTTAATCCCCACATGAATCTCTTAGAAGTTTGCTTGTTTTTTTTAATCACTGAAAGATCAAAGTACTTTGGGTTTAATTGTCCTGCTCTGGTTTTTCTCCATTGCAAGTACCTATTCCCTTGCTCTACATTTTGCTGCTTGGCTCAATGGTCAGTGAGGCAAATTCCCCTTGAGTGGGTTTTTTTGTAAAGTTTTTACCTTCTTGAGTCACTTCCCAAGTAGCTGTAAAGAGAACTACACTGGCTGCTCACCTTTTCAATAAAAGACTTAGTTTTACCTCAACAGTGCTTAAAGCATTCACCACTGTTTCAAATTCTCTACCCTAATTTCATTGGAACCACCACAGTTCCCTTTAGGAACTATGTGCCATAAACTATCCTTCTTTGCAGTTAGTTGTTTTTCTCAGCAGGGCTCAAATTGGTCAGGCAAACAATCAGCTGGTGAATGTACAGAATTGCTGCCCAGCAATTCTCCTTTCCTGACATGTGCCTAAGAAGAGCCAAGTGCATCTCAGGGGTACAAATAGCAGGTGCCCCAGTCACTGCATTTAGGATCTGGGGTAGCAAGTTGGAGTTGCAGAGAGCCAGGAGGTCACCCCTGAGCCTCTTCTCCAGGCTGAGCAACCCAACTCCCTCAGCCCTTGCCCATGTGCTCTGCCCTTTGCTGCCCTCGTTGCCCTTGGCTGGACTTGCTCAGTGGCTCAATGGCCTTTGGGCAGTGAGTGCCCAAAGCTGAGCACAGCACTGAGCTGGGACCTCCCCAGTGCCCAGTGCAGGGGGCCGACACTGCCACACTCTGCTGAGCCAGGACAAGGTGCCCTTGGCCTCCTTGGCCACCTGTGCACACTCTTGGCTCCCACTGAGCTGTGCCACCAGCACTGCCAAGTCCTTTGGGACCAACACCTCTGTCCCCACTGCTCCCTGAGCCTGGAGCTGCATGGGCTGTTGTGTGCCAAGGGCAGGAGCAGCACTGAGCCTTACTGACCTCAGCCGCAGATCAAGTCAGTCCAGGTCTCTCTGTAGAGCTTTCCTCCCCTCAGGCAGATCCACACTCACACCCAGCTTAGTGTCATCTGCAAATTTACTGTGAAAACTTTGTGTTCAATAGTGCACTCACCCATACCAAATCAACTTCGATCCCTGAACAGTTAATGACTGAAAAGTCTCTTTTCCTTATTGGGAGGACCTAGCAAGGTAATCTGTGTGAGACTGGAATGTCAAACCTGTTCAAGAGCACTGAGAGGTTGGAATCTCCCTGTGCAGGACTGCAAACCTTCCTCAGCTGTGGTTCATGTCAGTGGCAATTTACAGCATGGTAAGTGTTGAAACCACTCCTGAGCACAAAGCAGATCCCCAGACTCTTCCATTGGCAAAACAGCTCACTCATCTGCATCAAAACTCTAGAGGCTTTGAACATTTGACATTTTATTTGAACACTGATCATAGTTTTTACGTTCAGAGCCAGTGGGACATGTGTTTGAAAGGAAGGCAGGTTTTCTAGTGCAACAAAGTACAGGCCCAAGACTTTATTGATTAGAACTGATTATTTAATCTCAGAAACTATAAAATGATGCTTCAATACAAGACATATTTTTAGCCTAGATATGCTTTTAAATTTATTCTTCTCTCAGAGATATATTTCAAGTCTAATTCAATTTCCTGGGGTGCTCAGCACCTCTAAAAGAGACCAAACTTACAGAGAAAGATCCCTTGGGTAAACAGATTGCTTAAATGGAAGTAGATCAAAATACATCAAGAAAATACTTTAATTTAAAAAAAAAAGCTTGCACAGTATCAGCACATGTCAACAAGCAAATAACAGGTACAGATCTTTTACAGATAAGACAAATGCAACCTAAGACTTGTTCAGACTTATCTTTCAAGTATGAAGAGCTTGTCTGTCTGTTCAGTGGGCATGGCAGTCACATTCTATTCTTCAGTTGCCAAATTCTTCTACAGCAGCATAAAAACAAGCCTCAAAATCATCAAAAGGCTGAAAAAAAACCCCAAAACAAAAGGCATAAATGTGGCTGTGCATGAACAAAAGCAGTGAAAATCATCATTAAATAACAACTCATTCATAAATGACTGACACTAGAGCCCTGAGTAAGTCAGGGCTTTGGAAGGGTCTGAATCTCCAGACTCAGTTTTGGGACACACAGCCCAGCTAGGCTTGAAAACATCCACAATGGGCTGTAATGTCTTCCAGGTTAAGTTCTAGTCTTAAATTTTGCATCTTGACAATTTGCATCTGATTTTTTCCCTTCCTGTGCATAACTGGAGTAAAACACAGTGGTGTTCTACTAAATCTGATCCAACAGGTATTACTTGTTCAGAAAATGGGGATTCTGGCTTACAGCTGAAAATCCTTTTTAGTGATAGACTCACTGAGGGAAAAGATGACTGTGTCATATGAAATTAGGCTAATTTTATGCATCTGTGTTTGAACACACTGAGGTTTATCTCAGGTTCTTCCAAGAGCCTTATCCATATTAATTGATATTTAATTGCAGATCTGTGCTGAGAAAGTCATTCCAGATCAGCTGTGCCCATCAGTGAGGTGAAAAAACTGTTCACTGAAACAGGACTGTGACCACCAAACTGTGCAGATGCTGCATGATAAGTGACTTCCACTCATACTGCCTTGAATCAGGTGCCAAATGGCAACTCTTAGAAAGTCAGTGACATCTTTGCGTTAAGATCCTCAATAGATGTTTACCTCAGGCATGCTACTAGTCCAGCTGGCATTAACTTCTTGGACCTCTTGAACCTCATTCCCATTATAATGGTCAAAAGAAAAGATGAAACTGTAAAAGACAATTCAATACGTTTATGTTCTCACTTCTCCCTGTGGAGCACTGAGGAACATGGAGAGTTATCAAAGGTCATTGCTGGTTTGCTATGAACTGCAATTTAATCAAGTAAGATCAGAGATAGGGGTTATAAAAACATTTTCCAAAATGCACAACTGTGACTTCTTTCAGCTACAAATAAGGTTTCCAAGTGCAGCAGGATGCTAAATCTTATTCCATGGTTACCAAGTAGATTTATCAGACCATGAATTCTGCTCACAGAATCACAGAATGGGTCAGGTTGGAAGGGACCACAATGGTCATCTGGTCCAACCTCCTACTCCAGCAGGGCCAGCCCAGAGCTCATGGCTCAGGGTTGTGTCCAGAGGGCTCTGGAATATCTCCAGTGAGGAGAATCCACAACCTCTCTGGGCAATCTGTTCAGTGCTCAGTGACTGCACAGGAAAGAAGTTCTTCCTCGGATTCAGGTGGAACTTCCTGGGCATCTGTTTCTGCCCATTGCCTCTTGTGCTATTGTTTCTGTCCTGTGCCTCTGCCACCTCCCTGCAGATACTCCTATACATTGAGGAGATCCCATATCTACATTCATAGGGATACCAATAAGTAGGAAGAATCATTGCAGTAACAGTAACATGTATGTTAAAAGTACAGGAGCACTGTCCCATAAATCCCACCACCCTAGATCATGGCAGCTGCTTTCTAACTTTTCAAGGAGCTAGAGCATTCAGCTTTTTCTGGTTTATTTTTAGAATATTAGCTCTTTATTTGCTGAGCCTTAAAAACTGTATTGGAAGGTTTGCCACTTGGTTTTTTTTTTGCTACAGAATATGGCTATTGACAAATATTTTATCATGACCACAGGTTCCCTTGTTTCCTTTTGCTATGAGGAAACTATTTTTGCCTGTGACAAGAGGTTTTCAAGCTGAGACTGGATGTGGCACTTAGTGCCATGGTCTAGTGACCATGGTAGGGCTGGACTCGATGATCTTGGAGGTCTTTTCCAACCAGGTTGATTCTATGATTCTATTTTAAATGCATTTCTGCATGTGAAACCACAGCCTAAGCCAACTTTGCTAAAACCATGAATGAGACAAGCTTCCAATAGCTTTTACTGCAAGTCAGTTGTGTGAGGTCCATATTCCCCTCAGGGGTTGTAGTTTCTTGCCTCCATGAGGGTTTCACAGCAAACTAGCTAACGTAACAATTACTGCAGAGTTTATGTCCTTATCATAGCAGCAAAGGAAAAACACTAAGTCAAACTATGTTTCATTGGGAGCTGAGAATACATAACATTATGCAAGACTGGATCCCACACCTATTTTACTGCTGGAATTACATTCTAATCTGTTATGATAAGGTTTTTATTGCAGTTGTGTCCCATGGTTCTTATCCAGATTTCACAACAGGTGAAAGTTAGGCAATCGTCTCATAAAAGGAGGTGCTGCCAGGTGGCAACACACACCCCTGTTGGCTTTGTGTGACTGATCTGCCTTCCAGAATAATCACAGAATAACCAGAGCTGGAAGGGACCCTAGAGGATCATCCAGTCCAACCCCTGCCCTGCACAGACATCCCTGACAGTCACACCCTGTGCTGAGAGCATTGGCCAAACACCTCTGGAGCTCTGTCAGCGTTAGGGCTGTGACACTGCCCTGGGAGCTGTACAGGGCCCAAACACCTCTGGGGGAAGAACCTTGTCCTGATATCCAATCTAACCCTGTTCCAGTGCCCAAACACCCTCTGGTTTACCTTGCAAATGGTCCCACAGTTAAGCTCTTGAACTGTGCAAGCTAAGCTGGAAGTATCAAATTCTCTTTAAAAACTAACATTTCTACCAAAGCAACACTCAAACTTTGTTCAAAGAGAGAATTTTACATGCAGTTCAGGATGTTGTTTTTTCATTTGTTTGTTTACTGTAGTAAAACACTTACACAATGATATCTTCACATTTCTGGGATCACATGTCACACAGTAAGCTCCATAACCAGCCACAGAGCCAAAGGTCAGACCAGCAGCTAAGGAGATTTTACTACCTGCAAGGAGAAACCATTCAAGGGTTATTTCTCAATGCAATGTCTCTATCTATACAGTATTATCCAAACAGTTTAACAAAGTACTGATTTGTCCTGGTAGTTCCCCCAGTGTGAACAGAGAGGTGATATTTCTGCAGCTGGGTCACTCTCTTGCATGGCATTAGGGGCAAAGTCGATTAAGTTAGAGGTAGAAGATCAGGATTGAGTAATATTTACAACTGGGGAAAAAAATCCTTGAAGCACAAACCTGCGTTTGGCTATTTTCTGTATCTTCAGAAGGATTTTTGTCATTTCTCTGGGCTCTCTGTTCATTTTACTTATCTCTTACAGCATTTGAGAGTCTCAAAAAATGGTGGAAATGTGTCAATAAATATAAAGAGTCAACTGGATAACACAGGTAGTCATTGACTTTTTAGTCTGACATCTGCACAAAGAAATGGTATCACCAACATCACATTTAATTAGTAAAGGATAAGAAACCCAACAGTTAGATGGCAGTGGGGATGAAAATAAAAATTCTAAAAGTAACACAACAACTCCTATCAGTGCTATTGCAAAACTGGTTCCTAAATCAAAGAGTTTGAGTAATATATTTAGGTTTCTGAACAGGCATTTGTCTTGGAACCACAGGATAAAAGCATAAAATCAGCACAGCAGGCATGAGTTAGATTAAGCTGATTCCCAAATGTTTAGAAATAAAGAATTCAGACCCCTCTAATGTTATTTAGCCCCCAAACCTGTTAAGTACATTTAACCAAGACTTTGCAAGAAAATAGAAATCATTATCAATAAAAATATAATGTAGATATGCCATGAGGACTGAGCAGCTATTAAAGAGTGAACAGGTGAATGTGACCACTTAAATGCTTAAGCTGACCCAAGTACACCTCATGAGGCTCAGCTCATTTCCAGCAGTGCAAGATGGATTTAAGATGCAGTCATGGTAATTATAGCAAAGTTTTCATGTCTCACATCATTTTTTAGGATTTTTTACAAAGCATAGCAGATGCTTCAGATGATTGCCCAGGGAGGCTGTGGCTGCCCCAACCCTGGCAGAGTTCAAAGCCAGGTTGGATGAAATCTTGACCAACCTGTTCTGGTGGGAAGTGTCCCTGCCCAGGGTAGAGGGTTGGGACTAGATGATCTCTAAGGTTCTTTCCAAATCCTAAAATTCTATGATTCTGTAATTCATTTCCCAATCAGATGCTTCATTTCCAAATCCTGCTACCCCAGCACTCACCTTTCCTAGTGTATGCTACAATACCTCCAACAGCCAGCAACGAAGCGTATGCAAAGCCAATCCAGTCAATAGCCATGGTCCCAACTCTGGAAAAGAAAACACATTGCAGCTGAGACCAAACAAGGTCATTTCTCATGGTAAAAAAAGAAATCATTACTTAAAAGGTTTGTAAACAGCACTGCACTATCCCAAGTCGTGTTTGTGTCAAAACATGACTTCTGGTGTCAAACACACATTGACACCCATTGACACAAACAGCTGTGTTTGTGTCAATGTGTCAAAACATTCAGAAGGTGAAGGTGTGTCTGTTGGCTATTGTACCATCCTTTCACTAATTGCTGCCCTTCCTTAAAGCCCAACATCTAGGTATACCCTATTTCCATTAGGGGATTTTTTTGGGATGTATGTGGCATTTTTTTCTCAGTCAAAAATACATGTATCAAGCCAAAATCTTGATACCACCCGGAGCAAGAGTTTTGCTGCAGTTGCGCTGATCTGGGCACACACTGTGGATACACAGAGGTCTTCTGAGTGCACAGCTCAGTGCCCTTTCAACCAGGCTGCATCTCATGGATTTTGAGTGGAATAGAATGTCACAGACCCTGCACCAGGAAAAAAAATAGGCATTTTCAGTCTATGCAAACTTTCCAGACAGAAACTTTGGCTCTTTTGGGAAGCTGTATGAACAGCAGCTTCATCCTGTCTATGCTCCTTTTGTTTCACCTTTGTTGATTTCACCTTTCATTCATTTTCATAGAATCACAGAATTTTAGGGGTTGGAATGGACCTCAGAGATCATCCAGTCCCAAGCCCTGCCCTGGGCAGGGACACCTCCCAGCAGAGCAGGTTGCTCAAGGCTCATCCAACCTGGCTGTGAACACTGCCAGGGCTGGGGCAGCCACAGCCTCCCTGGGAAATCTGTGCCAGTGTCTCACTATATTTTGATGCACTGTCCGAAGTTAGGGTTTTGTCCTCCAAAAAGCAGTTAAGTTACTGCTGTAATTAATGCTCATCTCTCCTTCCTTGGCTGCTCTGTGCAAAGGCATGAGCAGCAGCGTCTGCAGCAACTCCTGCACCACCACCCGGTGGGATGTCTCTTTCCTTTCCTTCTCCCAGATTAAGTGTATCTCTATCAAATTAAGTGCATCCTTCCAAGTTAAGTGTATCTTTCCTTACATCTGGGCGTAAGTCTCCTTGATCAGGCAACCAGCAGCAGGACAAGAGGGCACAGACTCAAGCTCTGCCAGGGGAGGGTTAGGCTGGAGATTAGGAAGAGATTTTTTGCAGAGAGAGTGCTCAGGCATTGGAATGTGCTGCCCAGGGAGGTGGTGGATTCCCCATCCCTGGAGGTTTCCAAGCTGAGACTGGATGTGGCACTTAGTGCCATGGGCTAGTGACCACGGTAGGGCTGTACTTGAGGATCTTGGAGGTCTCCTCCAACCTGGTTGATTCTATGATTCTATGATTCTATGATTCTCTGATTCTGTGATTCTGACCCCGGTTTTCAAGGGTGGCAGCACACCCAGCGCTTCATGCCAAGCTTTTAACCCTTGCAGTGCGCGACTCCCCGCGATGCCTCGCACAGGAGCTGCGCTCGGGGGGACTCGGCAGGGTCGGGGGGACAGGACGATGCTCTTGGCCGGGGCAGGAGGTGTTTGGGAGCCGCATCACGATCGCGCCCCGCGCCCCCCGAGCGATCCGTACCTCAGCCCGGGCCCGAGCAGCACCGGAGCCGCCCCGGGAGGGAGGGACGGCGGGAGGAAGGGAGGGAGGAAGGAGGGA